TAAGATGGCTTATCGACTTCTTGAAGAATTCTAAGAAGAAAATAAACCTACAGACATCGGTCTTGTTTAACAAAATCTGCCTACAAGAAAATCTGTCACCAAAGTACACCAACATGTTATATATACGAAGAAATGAACTTCCAAACTATTACAAAACTAAGTTAATCCTCTTTACAATATCTGGCATGGAAAGTTAACTGCATGATAGTTGTAAAAATTCAAAAAAGTTTTACATTAAAACCTAGGTCAGAGATAATCACTGCCTCAAAGATAGCCTTCATTTGGATCAGCATGCACCTACATCAAAAGAATAGAGGCTAGTAATACAAAACAAGCTTCAACTCTATATCCATATCATGTATTTGCAAAATACACAATATTCAGTTACACTATACAATACTTATAGTTGAATACCTTAAACTTAGTACATTTCATGTTTACTGAAAACATTTCTGAGTCTGATGGTCAGATTAAGTCAATAAACACTTTTGTATTGAAACCATTTGAAAATATGTGGCTTGGCTCATAAATTAATTATTCAACAATAAGAAATTAACAAGATAATGTGTACAGTGAAACTTACTTTTACTTTATGATCTGAAGATCTGCCATTTTCATCTGCCATTTATTCATCCAACTCACTAAATAATCTAAATCCTTTTGTAAGGCAGCAGCATCCTCACAGCCAGCAACACCCAAGGCTTTAACTTAAGTAATTTATTAACCATTCTTTCATCTATGTCACTGATATAAATTAAAACGAGCAATGGTCTTAAGACTGAGCCTTGAGGTACCCACTTGTAACAGTTTGACTGAACTCCATTTATAACAACCCTCTGTTTTTTTTCCATCATATTAGCAAATAATATGCAAGAACTGAATTGTTTTATGAACAAAGTAATAAGTTCTGACAAGTATATGTTTATCTTCCATTATATTGAATATTGATTATTTGATTGATCACAGTTAGTAATCCTGAATATAACCCTTCTGAAATTTATATTCTGAACTTGAATTACAATGTAGTAACAATTTACTTTACAAAGCACACATTTTAGGGTTGGATGTTAACTTTTTCGAAAATATAGTGCAGTTGGACATATTTGATAAAACAAGATAATTCAAATTTCCCATTTTGGGACTGCCCTCTCCAAATAGTGTGGTGCCATATATGCTGTTAAAAGGTATAGTAATCCCAAAAAGGAAAAGAAACTTAACAATCTGTAATAAAAGCAATTTTGTGCACATTCAGTGTAAAGCTATAAAAGATACTTTTATTGAATGGCTATAGTAATATTAAAATTAAAAGTCTTTAAATTATTTTATAATAGATTTTATAGCTTATTAGAAAATAAATCATTTACAAACAATTTGAATGCAATTATTTTTAAATTTAAATACTATTTTTTTAGTATATGCTAGTATATAAAATCTTAATATAAAAATAGTGGTATTTATGAAGGCTAACGTTAGGCAACTGAACCTGACTTTGTTTATCCAGATTTGCTAGAAAGACTAGGTTCTTGTAAGGATGGAGGTAGGTGTACCAGAACTATAGAGGTGGCTTTATAGCTTATAACATCATATATGCTATTACAGTCTTAAGATTACATCATGTATTGTTAGAATTATAAAAAATGGTGGAGGTTGGGTGTTATAATTTTTATTAGAAATCAACGGTGGTTAATGATATCAGATTTCTATCATAGAGATGATCAGCACAAAAGGAAAGAGGCAATCACTCCGTCCAAGAAGTGCTGGATGCATCAGAAAAGCTCTCACTGAGAGTATTGGCGATGTTCTGTATATCAGCCATTGGAAAGCAGGATGGAAAGGGAATGGGAAGAAAAACTCCCATTGACCTTTCAAATCTTGTCCCATATAACTTTGGAACTGGCAGTAGAAGATATGCTAGTTGTGAACTTAATCCAAGATTCTTTTTAGCTTACATTTGACCTGCCAAACATGGGCACAGGGCCACTGGAAAGTGATACAGTTGGAAAGAGTGATATACATGCAAAAAGTATCCCAGACACATTTTTGAGCACTCAGTGCCTGCTGGAGACCACCATGGACAAGGATACCATGCAAAACATGTCAAGGTCTTAGGTATAGAATGAACAGCTGCTTGAATGAGGCAATCAGTTACTGCCTCCATGCAGTCATTAAGAGATGGAAACTAACAACAGCAGGATCGAGTTCCAAGAGAGAAGTGAAAGAGAGCCAGTTGGCCTGGTCCCACCTCCATCGTGGCACTCTGGTCAGGTGGCATCAACAACAACCAATCTCTCTCAGAATGATAGGAAAATGATCACTGCCCTGTGAATCACTGTCAACCCTCCAAGAAAAGTGAGAAAAATGTGAAGGGGAGCAGATAAATAGATCAATGGCAGTAAAAGACTGACTAGGTGCATGGAATAAGTATAAGAACCAGTACTGAAGAAAGAAAGATTGTGATCTGAGAGCACATGCTCTACAGAACAACCACTCTGATCAATATCAGCACAACCATACAGGGGATTGTGTCCATTAAAGTCTCCCAGGATTAAAAAGAGAGATGGCAATTGTTCAATGAGAGCATCAAGGTCTGATTGATCATAGTCTCTGAAGGAGGCAAGTAGTGTAACTAAAAGTGATGGTACGACCCAAAGAAACAGGATGGCTATGGCCTCCAAGGGTATATTGAGTGACACTTAAAATGTAGGCACATGCTGGTGGATCAGCAGTGCCTCCCTTCTATACACTCATCCATCACACAACCTGTCATTTCGGTATAAAGAAAACTGCCGAAAGGTGACTGTATCGGCAGATTTCAGGAATGTTTTCTGTGAGGAAAGACACATGGGATGATGGGAATTGATCAAGGCCTTAAAGTCATCCAGATTAGAATGGAAACCTCAACAGTTCCACTGTATCAAAGTGACCATTTTTACTTGGTCAAGAGGGCAGATCTCGTCATTAGACATAGATTCCAATGGCTGAGGGCATGAAAGAATAATCTTTCTGCATCTCAGGGCTGAAAAAGATGGACCTGAGCAAACCCCAGAAGCCGGAACTAAAGTATGTGGACCAGGGCAGTCACTAAAAGGAATGGTGGGGACAGAGATAGGAATATATGTTGACTTGTCAACTCAGTTATCCGTTGAAGGCAAAAGACTCTTCACATGATGCAAAAAAGACTCTGATGGAGGCACGGAAAGGTCCTTCTGCACTTCCACTGTATCAGTGGAGTGTAGTGCAGTGGCACATGCCCAAGATGGAGTAGGGGAGAATAACTTCCAAGCCTCGGGGTAAGAAATGTTGTTAATAGTTTTTAAATGCTGTACCTCTTCCACCCTTTTAGGGCAAGGACGATAGTAAGAGGGGTGGGAACCACTTCAATTAATGCAGTGAGGGTCCAGTTTGCACTCATAGGCTTCCTGGTCTTTGACATCGTAACAAGCACACATCATAGAACCATGACAAGATGGCTTCAAATAACCAAAATGCTGACACTGGAAACATCTGAGAGTTCAGATAAACTGCCTTGACAGCAACAGGTGGACATGGTGATGTAAATGTCAAAATAAGAACTTTGGTAGGCAGAATAATTCCTTCTTTATGAGTGGAGATACGTCACACTGCAGAAACTCCTTGGCTGGAGAAACCAGTGAGGACCTCCAACTCAGAGATGTTCTTCAAATCTCTCTCAACAATAACTCCTTGTGAAGAATTCATAGTAGCATGGGGAGTAACCTCACTGGGTATATCCTCAATGGCCTTTGAATTCAAGAGGAGTTCATTGTTTAGTCCAAGATGTCCCCACAACATAGCTTCTTCACTGACTTTGGGGAGCCAGCAAACCCATCTAGTCCCTTCTGAATAAAAAAGGGAATGCAAAATCAAAAAACGAGGTACAGGAGCAAGATGAGTTGAAGACTGATGATCATAGTCTTCATGGCATGGTCATTTGCCAATTAGCTGATTTTTTGCTTTTTTTACTATTTTATTTTTTGAGGATTTGGGGGATACATAATGAAAGGAGAAAGATTCAGTGTCCACTGACCCCACACACCTCGGAGTCCTACGAGGGGATGCACTACAATGCCAAACAAGAACACTGCAGCAAAGCCAGGGTTTCATGAGCACTATACCCAAACACCAGCATCAGACACAATGTCCATAACATCCAATGTCCAACACTAGCCCCATAAGACGAGTTGCCTGATTTTAGGGTGGGGTACACCAGTGCCACCTGTCTACAGGAATTCAAGGCCAAAGTTTTGTGTTTCAGTGCCCCAGACACCACTCAACCACCAGGATCCTCTCCTCCCCCTTCACGGGTCACCACGCATGGCAAACACATGGGTGGATGTTCAGATCCCAGAGGATGTAAGCTGAAAGTACAGAACCTTCTCTGAGAGGTCCACGTACAGAAATCCACCTCAAGAGGCAGCTATTATAGACCTAAAAAATTTGTTTATTTATTCAATTTTAATTTATACTGCGAAAAAAAAAATCTGTGACTATGGGGCCTTTGGAATACTGGGAAATCATCATTTCTAATGGTTAAAATTAATAAATAGCCTACTTTTCATTTCATAGAATATTTTATAAAATCTGTATAAAAAAAATATGCTGACTTTCTCAGTGGCCAAATTTTTGTATCTAAGCTCTTCATATGCGTGTGTATATAAAATTAAAATGTGATTATTAACCTGACAACAGATACAGAATATATAAAAAAAATTCATGTTTCAGTTCATTTGCATCTTATGCATCCGACAATTTTAAAAATATTTCTGCATTTTAATATTATCAACATTTAAAAAATGCTGGTCACCTATGCATTTTTTTCTTGTTTTCTCAATGCATGAATTTCTTTTTTTTTTACTGTTAAATAAAACCAATGTAAAAAACATTACTATTATATTTATAATCTGTTGATATCATGAGAAGACATCCTACACATTCCCACATGTAGTAAGCAGATATGTTGAATAGTAAAGTTGAAGCAATTTGATAGGCCTGTTATACCATGAGGTGGGTACATTACTGTCTACTTGCAAGGTAAGGTGAACCAGTTTACCTGCAGGGGATATTTCAACATAACTGCAGTATAGTATACTATTAAATTAATATGAAGCAACTTCAGTGTAATAGATTAGTTCCATCATGTCACACTCTCATCCAGTATACTTGCTTCTCTAACATTAAGTTTTTTTTTTTTTATGTGCACAGTAAGTAAAGCTTCTTAAAGTTTTTGTATGCTTTTACTCATAGCTATGTTTTAATTGTAAGAACTTAAGACAGGGAAAAGTGTTGAATTTTCTATATAGTTTGAAGTTATCAATGTGGTTGTTTTATAAATAAGATACTCAAATCATGTGATTATTGTGATGTTTGAGGATTATATAGTTCATAAAGTAATGCAATTCATTAAAGTTTGCTTTAGAACAAAAAATTTAAAAGTTATGGGAATCCAATTACTAGAATGACTTAAGAAAAGATTCTTGGCATATTGACAGATTAGTCACTGTAGTCATTGAGGCAGTGCTCTACTGCTAGTAGTTATTACAGGTAGGCTAAGGCCAAGTAAAGAAAAATATGTTTTACAATCCCACCTGCTTTCATTTTTGCAGCCACCTACCCCAAATATTTTTGGTGATTTTTTTTCCATTTTTGAATTACCGTTTTTCAATCATACAAGGAAGACTTCTGAATGAAAAAATGAAAATGGTTAATTCATTTTGCCCTTTTTCTTTGTCATAAATTCTGTATTATTTTGATGAAAAAATGGAACAAAGATGACTTCTGTTTGACATGGACCCTTTGAAAACAAGCAAGAATCATGAAAAAAAGGGGTGCAAACTTTCTTTCAAAGAGGTCATTTAAAAAGAAAAGGGTCTCCTCCTTCCTTTTTTTTCTGAAAACTATGGATGCTAAACATGTTTGTTTTGTTGTTGTTATTTTTAATTGGCCTAATAGAATATAATTACTGATTATAATACAAGTAAAAACATGTTAAGCCTCACTTACAATATTGCACTAATTTGGGCAAATAACTAGCAGATGACTTTTAATTACAATAAATGCAAGGTAATATATGTGGGTTATCATAATTTAAATTGTAAGTATAATTTTGATGGGAATAACCAAAACAGTAGTGTTTGGTTGATCAATATGTGTAGTCTCTTAAGCCATCCAAGCAATGTGTTGTTGCTAATGGTAAGACAAACAGGATTTTGGGTTGTATTTACAGAAATATTTAATATAAGTCTAAAAAATGTTATAATTTCATTGTAGAGGTTGTGGGTTAGGCCTCATTTGGACTGTTATATTCAGTTTTATACTATTTAGTTTAGGAAGGACATGGAATTGTAGAAAAGATTTAAAGGACAGCTGCTAGTATTATATCTTGTATCAAAATGTTAAACTCTCTGAAACTGTTTTCTCTTGGAAAAAGAAGTTAGAAGGCATCTGATTGAGGTGTTTAAGATTATTAAGGGAACTAATAGTATTGATGCATCATAGTTTTTGTACTTAACCATGGTAATGGTGAGAATGGTAGAACAAGGGGATAAGAGTATACTTTTTGCATGGTAAGTGATCTTCAGCTTGGACAGTTATATTTTTCTAACCCTAACAGGGTGGTTGGTCTTTGAGGTACATTGATTCAAATATGGTAGGTGCAGTAATTAAATGATCAAGGTTCGATTTGAGTATCTTTCTAGTTTTTTTTTAATTTGGACGGAACAGCCTCAATGGACTGATAGGTCCCTTGCTGCCCCTTAAATGTTATGTGCAGTTTGATATGTGACAAATGGTCCTTTGGAAATTTATCCCTTAGAAGACTGAAACTTGAAAGTAATAAAATAAGCTTTAATTTTTATATTAGTGTACAAATACAAAATTCTTGATTTAAATTTGATTTAATGAGTTTATAATATAGATATAAAACAGTCATAAACGCTCTCAGAATGCTGTTTTCATTAATTTTAATGCTTGTCAATCTCTGGTAAATCATTAAGTAATATTGGTTATTACTATTACTACTAGTATTAGTATTACTGTAAGTGTAAAGTATAATACTAATACTTACCTACAGTAATAATTACAACGAAAGTGGCAACAGCAATACTAATGACTGTGAAATCTTTCTTTTCAAATCCACTTCGAACACTTTCAATCAAATCCATTTTTAAATTAACTTTAAAACGTTTTGGTGGTATAATATTAATATATGTAGACTACTCTTTAAATAAACTCAGCTATTATACTAATTTTAACAAGTTCCTGTACACTATTTGGTGTACCATATGGTGTACTTGTGCTTTACAATACCCACATAGGTAGCGCTATGAGCGAATTACTTTAATTTTTTCTTA